GAGTCGAAAAAACTGTCAACATGACCTTTGATATTGCTGCGGATCTGCCGCGCTTTTTTGGCCTCGAGGATCATCCCGAAAGCCTGCTGAATCTTGCGAATGGTTTACGCTCGGGTATCACCAAGGTTTTTGGCAAAATTTGATGTAATATCGCTGCTCACGTTGTTCAGTCATTTTCCAGCTTAGTGGAATCCGACGAGAGCGCACTACATGACCTCACTCATAGGCCGATTGCCAACGACTGACGCATCCTGCAGGCGGGAAAAAATTCAGGGCTGTGCATAACTGTCTCCTCCACAACTCCACCTAAGGAGGCCTCTCGCGCATCATTGGTTTACGCGGAAAAAAAAGGTCCGATACTTTTTTAACAGACCTTGTATATAATTATGTAGCGTTCAACATGATATTAATACCCGAATGATTGAATTTTTTAAACATGGCTAATTTTTTTACTAGGCCATTCATTTAATCTTTGTATAACACGAAATAATTGTAATAAAATTATATTTAGAAACATTTAAAAATTAAAACTAATTGAAAAAAAGAAAAATGAAAGATGAAAAAATATAAAATAAAATTTTACACTAAAACAGCAAATACGACCATAAATTATATTTAAGTTTTACTATGACATTCAGTTATAAATTAGGATATAAAACAAACTTTTGGCTGATTGGACCATAAAAGCCTGAATTATTTTAGTCCTATTAAACAGCTACTACTCTTATGTGAAGTTTAAATAAAGTGTTACCAAATGTAAAATGAAAGACAGATTTTTATTCCTCAGTACACAGTGAACCACTGTGTACTGAGGAATATATAAAATATCGGTACTTAAATATTTCTAGAAGAAAAAAATCTAGATAGAAAAAATTTTATATAATTTAAACTTCAATATAATGTAAGTTTCAGCTTTAGTTCCTTCAAGGATATGTTTCTGAATAATCTAAGATACAATATGTTTACATTTTTTATATTGTCCATGGCCATCAGCCTAAAGATGTGTTAAGAGAGAACGATTTCAGATGGATGTTTTTAAACAATTTAAATGAAAATTTGTTACTCAGTTATCAAGAAGAATTTTCTTTCTTCTTGTCTTTTGTTCAGAAACAGGTCTTAGTTTATTTATAATCGTTTCCTTTTTAAATTTGGGAAATGATCAACTTATAGTTATTAGGATAATACAAAATTATTAAACTATTCATTCTGTCTCCTAGCACGAAAATCAGACAAACAGATGCTCCTTAGTTTTCAACAACCGAAAAACTGAAAGCTTTTGTTTAACACTTTCTGACATATTTGATTGTCATAACGTGTTTACGTGATGGATTGCGTTTTAATTAAATACAGCAGTATTGCGTGTTTGTAGCTCAGGGATCCATTAAGCATGCAACTATAAAACAATCTGTAACAGTTTGTTTTTGCATCATTACAGATAGAAGAGGCTAGATATATGTAGAGATTAAACTAAATATAAAAAACCAGCTTTCTACTGGAGTATTGAAATCTCTTTACTAAACGTTTTTGGCTCCATTCATGAGCCTTCGTCAAGTAAATTGTATTCGAATTCGTAAAAACATCGAACACTTCTTTACAAATTTAAAATGGAATAATATCTGAAAAATACGCGTTAACCAGAAGCAAAGGTACGTTAAAAAGCTATGGTGAATCTTGAAAAAACAAATGGAAGGTTTAATTAAACGTGACATCCCATTGGTGGTTTGAGAGAAAATTGTGGAAAAAAAATATCGTAAAAATAAAAATAACTAAAACGTAGTTCCAAAAGAAACAGATAATACTTACTATTGGTACTTGAATTCGGGTCTGTTATGGGTTTCGCATCCCCGATCGGACGTTCTAATTGGTCGTGATCTCCATCTTATACTTTTCCGGTTGGTCATGACTCCAGACAGATTCAAAGAGCAAACACTGGCAAAAGATGTTTATTAAATTTGTTACGAGTCCGCCCGGAATTCAGAGTCAAGCATTTTTTCCCGGTTGTAAATATTACTAGTGCATTCGCGTGACATTTGGTTTTATTATACATTTTATCATCCCATTTTCGCGAACATTGAAGAAAATGTTCAATTTTTCGATCGCTCACCATATTTTATCTACTAATGGCATTTTATTTAAAACAACTTATTCCTTTAAAACAGATTTTGGTCGAAGTTTCAGACTCTGGTCGAAACTACACAATTAACTCTTTATATTTCGAAGCAAACGAATCAGCTTTTTAGCATGTCACCGACTTTATTTTCAGCTTTTGATTACTAACAGATATATTTCATTTAGTTACGATAGAGAACTATTGATTTATCTCAACACTCCTATGTTTGGAAAGTTCACTATTGTCCATAATATGATATCTATTTGTAGCTACTGTAGTTTATCATGCTGTTGTATCGGATATGCTATTGTAGGTCTATTCTACTGTTAACTTAGATAGATAGCTATATTTGTAGTAGCCTTTGATTTTATTGTGGAATATATAGCGTTGATTCTGTAAAATTTCAATTAAAATTAATTTTGAAAAAATTCGCTACACTGAATATAGCTCTCTGCTACTAAATGAGTCGATCCAAACATTACATACTTGTAGCAATGACAATCTTGCTGCTTAGCAGTCATTACGAGTAGAATTACCACACTACCAATCCACTCAGTGACAAATATATATTCATACATATGTTTGTTACTGAGTGGTCTAAAAATAGCCTCCTCGCCACACATCACAGGAGTGCATTATCTATCAGCCACAGTTACCATTAAACAGCAAGTCCTAAGTAACCGAAACAAATTTTGATTATCTTGATTTATTTTTGTCATCAAGATTTATCCTAAACAAATGCTTGCCCGATTAAGCGATAATTCTATAAACCGAAATTATAAGTTAACTAAGATGCCAATATGTAATAGTATTATATATTTACGTATATACTTGAATATTTTCTTTACATGTATGATATGTAATAAAAAAGAGGCTATGTGGTGTCCGTATTTTTGTTCTTTTGTAAATAAACATAATATTATTCTAAAAGTAAGCATAAAGTTCTAATGCTCTATATTCAATTACAGATCTAGAAGAAAAAGATAATACTACTTGTGAGAATGGAATATTGAAAAATGGTGAATGTAAATGCAACTTAGGTTACGTTCATGAAAACAATAATAAAGATAAATGTGTTCGTAAGTATATAGATTATGAATACAGTCGAATCCCCTATAACACTGTTTATTATTCAGTTTTTTATGAATTCCATGTTGTACGAGTCACTTAGATTACTTGAGCCGTTCACAGGCCGGCACACGTATTTTGTAAAATCTAAGTGACTCGTACAACATGGAATTCATATAAAACTGAATAATCAACAGTGTTATAGGGGAGTCGACTGTATTTTAATAATATGATTAATCANTTTTCCGTTTGTGGGGGTTAAAGAATCTGGCCAATGTCGATTGCTTTTCTCTCTTCTTCACGATTTTTCAGAAGTAATTAATAGCATTGTAATTGTAGATATCCCTAATCCTATTAACTTCAACCTGGTTTAGATGCCATTCTAAGACCGTCGTTCTGACATCATCCCACTTCTTCAAAAAATGTTTAATAGCAGATATCGACATTAATTTTCTTTTTCAGAAGAAAACTTATCTCGCCGAGTTTCTTGGTGTTCTCTATTCAAGAGTTCTCGGCGTTCTTCTGTGGTCAGATCACTTTCAGATTCCATTATGAGCTTATCAATGTTCTTTATTTCTCAGATGTGATTTTTGTTACTCCTTAAGCTGCTTGAGTCTTCTTGATAATACAGCATCTTTCATAGATAAGATTGAACTGCGGCCTAATGCAGACCTGTTCAAGCCATACTGGCCAGCAACAACAGACATCAGACATCTGCCCACTCTCTACGTGTGATATTATACTCTCACCTTTCGAAAATAAAAACCGACGCAAAACTCAACGAGTGCTCGCCAGTCTCGCGAATACTATAAAAGAATTGTTACTGTCAGAAAAATAAAAGGCTGGAATTACAAGGAAAAGTTTCAAAGTTTGGAGGAATACTATCCGATCAGTATATACCGGATTGAGCGTCGATGTCGACGTCTCCCGCGTTCCAAAAAGTTTCGAATTGTTGCCTGAAGACAAGGGAAGAGCAATCGGTATTCATTATTTTACGTCGCTTCTTCTTGTGTTTGTTCTGTGGGGTGTTCGTTATCCGATCATGTGTTCGTTGTCCGAACATAAAAATCTTTCGCGAAAGGGTTCGTTATCCGATTTGTTAGTTAACCGATCACCCTCTGTATTTCAGTTCGTACAGGTAATCAACAATAGAATAATGATGGATTAAACTAGAACAAAAAAGTTATGAACGGATACATATTTTAGATATAGACATCCTGTTGAAGGGAAATTGCATAACAACAGGTGTCTACATAAAACCAACACATAATCCATTATACATTCCAGCTAACTTGAACCCGTACAGATACAAACTTTTCGTATATTCATTAGAAGAGCGTATTTATAATGCTCTAATGTACTAGACAGGATCAAGGAAATTAATAGAATCAAAGAAATAGCTTCAAACTTGGAATACACAAAGAGTACAATAGAAGGACTAATTAGAAGATACGAAGGAGGCAAAAATGATCCCAACAAATGAATGTAAAATCGCCAATTTGAAATATAATAAAAACATCAAGAACATCATGAAAGAAGTGGCGGACAAATAAACACTCCAAAATAGTTTTCAAAAGAGATCTTAATTTATATAGTATCCTGAGAAATGATAAAGACATGCTTAAAAAAAGAAAAAAAGCCGGCGTATATAAAATTCCATTTGAAAATAAGCAATTAGGAATTAAGAAGGATTATATTGGAGTCACAAGAAGGGATTTAGCTATTAGACAAAAAGAGCACAAGTCTGACACCAACAAAGGGCACTGCGACACAGTTTTGTCCATTATGCCACAAATAGAAAACTGTACGAGTAGTTAAATGGAATGAAGCGACTATTTTCGGGGCCATGCGTTCCCCATCGTTAGCAATAAACGAATAAAAAATTGAAATCTGTAACAGTAAATTACAGGATGGTTGTATTAATGCCAGGGATGCGGATGAACTACCTTCTGCATGGTAATTCTACGTAAAAGAAAAATTAAAATATAAAAATTCCTAGTCCGTACCTGCCCATATATTTGCATGCATTTTTCGTGTATTTTATTTTTATTTTACGAAGAATTACTACGCAGAAGGTAGTTCATATTTTCGTTTTAAATTTAAATGTAAAATGTTCGGACGTTCCGTCGTTAAAATGTTGTTTTTGAAAAGGATTTTTCGAGTTCAGTCACAACTGAAGGTGGCCTATTGTACTGTATTAGGCTGAAAACGTTTGTGTTTTGTTTAAAAAAATATTTCTCAGTAACAGAAGGTGCATTGCTAGTTCAAGTATTTAAAAACCTAGTTTGATATTTGGTCTGAATTTCTTGTTCGAAAAATACTTGTTTTATTAGGTAGTGTACAAAATTTCATAAAGAGATTGCCGAAATATAAGCAATCGAATAGCGCAAACATCGTAAATAAAGTTGTATTCTCTTCTTTTTCTTCTGCAAACGCTCGTAGAGGGGAAAAACTACTGGTAAAAAAGCTCCAATTGTGAACTTAACTCTTTGTAGTTGTCAACGAAGTGTTAGCGAAACTTCCAGGTGGATAGATCAAAATTCACGGGATTACCCTGGAAATATTTCACTTTTTCGCTTAATTTTACGGTTGTAAGAATAACATTCCATAGAAACTAATGATTTTCATTCAAAATGTCATATAGAATAACAAAAGCTGAATCTTATGCAAATTAAAACTTTTTTAGCGATTTTACTAACGACGTATTGAAAGCATTCAGTCGGCGGCTCTCCTCCGTTTAACATACTGTAAAGTCCGATCGAACTGTACAGTATGTTATCATCTCAGATATCAGTGTAATATTAGTTACTAACCAAAAAACCAATTGATATCCTAACAGAAATATCTGACATGTAAAAGTTTATAACAGTTTGAACGACAGTAAAATTTTTTTCGTAGGAGTTATTTTTTGGTTTGCTTTGCGTTTCGAATATGTTTTACGTTTCGAAGCGGTATCTATAAGATTTTTATTTGTATTATTGTTTTCTGCAGTTTGCTTGTCAGCAAACAATCTGACAGATCTGTTTTGTCTGTCCGTCGTTAATTTCGAGAACACCATTTCCGTGATTAACGACGGACAGTCAGACAGCAGCAAGACGAAATTATGATTAAAATCAAGACTGCATATGAAAAGCTGATAGGCCGGAGGCTTCGATTAACTGTATATGAAATTCCGGTTAAGGCCGGAAGTCATGTGATTTCAGTTCAAAGTTTACTCCACAGCAGAGTTTGATGAATGACCGGCATGACTTCATTGTTATGAGGAGAAGTATGATGTACAGGACTAACAGCATTAAAATCGAGACTAGATACAAAAAGTTTAGGGACCGGCACCCCGATTAAATATATACCAACTTCCAGTCTGGTCGTAAGTCACATGATTTGATTTGTTTAAAATTAAAGTTGATTAATTTTATCCATAATATTTTTTAAAAAGTTAACTTCTTAAAAATATGTTCTTTATGTTACATGTTAACTCCTTAAGGTAAACTCATTTCAAAACACTCCATAACGCTTCACTACTAAATATTGTAATTCTAACTGTTTTAATTGTACTCAGAATTTTATGACATTTGGGGTAATGCTATTAACTTTTCCCTATATTAAGGCACTTTTTTGCAATATCGGAATTATAAGCTAACTCACTACTAATAGAAACTGATTGTTTTGAGCGTTGAAAAACATGCTTTTTTGTTTGGTGAAATTCTGAATGCTAGTGCCCAGGAACCTAAAAACTAATTGAGTCACAAACTTCCAGATCGAAAATTTCAATGTCGACTATTGCAATTTTAATGTTATAATACTCTTAAACATTAACTAAGGTTTTTCTTTTTTCTACGTCATGCTCAGGGAGGAAGGAATGCTCTGTTACAAGAAAGATTATTTCAACTAATTTTACTGATAAAAGACCATTACAGGGCAGCCATTTAGATCACATTCCTAATAAGGTAGTGTTCTTGTTTTTGTCCCCACAATCTGCTAACAAACACAGAATACGATTGACTTCAACGTTAATTGTTGTAGAGAGGCAATGAAAAATGCAACTAGATATTTCATTAAAACTTTTGAAATATGTTTCTTCAGTCCAGACAACTGAATGCGTTATCAACAATATTATCAGCATTCAGCTTTGATTCTGAAGACCCTACAATAAATGTAAAGTTGTAAGCATGCAAATGATGTGAATAACACATTATCTGGCCCAGAAGTTTTGGAAGAGGAATATTTGGATGTATTTGATTGCCAATTAAATATATATATATGATAAAACATCATTATTTTTTTTCCAGGAGTGAAAAAAGTCCCTTTGCTCTCGGTTGATGTTTTTTAAATTCAGGTTTTAATCTTTCTATTTTTGTGTATTTTTTTCGACTTTAATGTTTTTAGACAACTGAAGGAAAGTCGAGCAGGCTATCTGTTCTGGGTGTGAAGAATTCTATGTTAATCTTTGTGTTAGAAATTTCTCTAAAATTGGACGGGTTTATTGTGTGCTGTATTGTGACTTTCTGTTGCACATTTTCCAGAGTTTTGTTATGTTTAAGTCAGATTCTGAATATTTGCGGTTGGCTTTCTTTCTTTGCCATAACGTGACTCAATTTGTATTAATTTTATAATAAATAAACACACTTAACCTTTTTCTTAGAAAACCGTATGGAATTTCGATCTCTACTCTTCTTTCATATACTCCTATGTCGGTGTAAATATGTCTACTTGCATCGCCATTGATCCGATGTTTTGTTAAACATAAAATGTTATAAAATGGTGATCTCCATACAGGAACAATCCTCCAGTATTCTTAAAGCAAACAAAATACTTGATCGTATTTGTTTTGGTTACTTTTCGTAAGTTGCGGGCTGCGTGTGAATTCATGTAACCACGTTTACGTTTTTAAAACGAAATTACTTTAGTGTATTTTATCACATAATAATGAAATGCTTTATGGAACTCGTAAACATTGTAAGTTTTACTGCGTGTCAATTTTTTCGTATTATGTCCATAACTGTGCCTTTCT